GCACTGCCCACACTATTTGGCCGGTTGCAGCCGAGTGAACTGCAAGAACCCTCCGAATAAAGGGTCTTATGCTCATGAAAAATAACAGAAAGCCTTCCCAGTGGGTGCAAAATCGCAATACTTTTCATGAGTAGTTAATAAATTGCATAATGCGAAGTTTAGAGTGGTAGAACAACATGCCATGAAATACTTTGGGAAAGGAGGAGTGCCTGTAGAGAGCATTCTCCAAATTGAAGACGCATATCGTTCAAAGACTGGCCGATTGCCAAATGGGCTTGCGCTGACGATTGCTCATGCTGGAGCGCACATCCTGACAAAAAGGTTTCAGAACGCTCCGTTGTGTTCAGTCGAAATGTGAAACTTCAGCTTTAATCGTTTCCGAGATAGGCCTTCTTATCCGGAGACGCTCAGAGATTGCCAATCGTTCTTGCGCTCTCCCTCTTACTTTCTCTTTGTCGACAGTCGTTCCTAGTCTTCATTAATGGAATACTAATAGGATCTAATAAGAGTCACAGTGACGACAACAAACACAGCAAACAACCACATCGACAGTATTTACTTTTTTTACTTCAGTATCACAGAGATAAATGGGCTTTTTGGACTTCAGTCATATAATGACAAGGCAAAAGACAGTGAACAGATGATGCAGCGACACTACATAAACCAGAACGTATTCTTTTTTCCTCCGTGCTTTCAGGGTTCTCCTGGAGGCAGGCAAGTTCAAGACCATATATCCGGAAAGCGTTCGATGCGATGGTGAATGGACGTTCGTCGACGACAATCACAATGCGCAACGAATAGTCAATATGATATGCCTCGACGAAGGTTTCTTGTTTTGTTGAAGGGTTAATTCGACGAAGTCAATTGAGGCAATCTTAAGCTAGAAGCTGGAAAAGTACGTCGATGAGTCCTAATCTATGAAGCGCCCCTAAGTAAAGGACAGCTTAAGGTCATGCACCTTTGCGCCTGAGCACCGCCTGTAGGAGGCTCAAGAGAAATACCAATCCGCAACCTGATGTTAACCAGTCTGTCAATGCAACTGACGGCATTTGCAGTACAACACTGTAGCAAGCACCAGCGACTGACACAGGCGTCCGAGCTCCCTACTCCCTTTCGTTCATTTGATCAGCAGTTGAGTCAGAGGACTGCACGTTATGGTTCTCCCCAGAAGCCCACACGGTGACTAGGCTAGAGATCTCTTGGCACAATACCTGACGATAATGAAATTAGTCCCATGGCCGCCCCTTTCTGGCTCTAGGAAATTAGGGTTTTCCAAAATGTAAAATTTGCAACACATTGAGGAGGTTTACCGAGATAGCTGTGGAAGATACATATTGACATTGTCAATGCATCATTATTCTGAATGTCCGAGGGCTACAACAATGTGATTTCTTAGAGGTGATCTTTACTGAGTATTTAAGCTCCACAAATCGAAGGTGACTGCTCTTGCTCAAAGCTGTTGCGAACACAATTATGCAAGGATGACACCTGTGAAGAAACGGCAGTCGATTTTTCACCAGATGGATGTATCGCAAAGTTTTCGTGTGAAAAGGGATTCCAGCTCGAAATCTCTCTAGTCTCTAGAGAAGGAAAGGTGAGAACTGCTCGTTACGAACTCCTATATCTTTATCGGTTATCACGTTGTGCAACACCGAGCTCTGATTTTGAAACATCTCCTCATCTCACTATTGTTGGGAAGCACCCGTTACGTTTTGAATCCTTATTATCGTTCAATCCTCTTTCTTCAAAGACGAAGAATTTATAGGCTCACCAGCCAGATCTCCCTGCTCATGCCAGGCTATCCTCCTTTCTACTTTGAGGTTGGCTTGCCGCTGGCATCCTTGTAAATTTGGACCTTCTGGTTTCCTGGCCCCGCCATGAGCGGAGCAATGTCAAGTCATGCGTTTTCAGTAACTTGGTTCATATTACGCTCATTTCGCGCACGCTCCGCCATCCCCCCCCCCCTCCTC